TTCAGAATTTTTTATTTTTAAGTGACGAATATGTTGGATTTTTTAGTACCCAGCGAGTTGTAAATGCTGTGTAGTGTGGTTATGTAACATGGGCCTGCCAGCCGGAGCATGAAATGGAGTGTAATTGGTGGGTGTGTGGTCTAAGAGCACTACGCAACTATGGCATTCGAATGTATACACAAAAAGCACAGCGCATGGTGCGCGCTGGGGGCTTGCAGACAGCTGGTGGGTGTGACAGTACGAGTGCATTTCTGTTTCTGATTCCTAGAGGGGAAGAATCACAAGCAACAGATTCCCTTGTAAAGTCACATCTGGCTCTTTACAAAGTTGTCATTTTGTTTTGGACGTCGGAGCTTTAGCGAAACAATTTGCTTTGGAGCTAAATGTTGAATTTATGCTAAAACTCTGAGAACACACACCTGGCCTGCACACTGCCATGCCACAATGTAGATCTGTGCCCAGGTCATTCAACAGGGAGGTAAAATAATGTGTATCCTTTCATTTCTTGATAATAATATGCATCATTACTATATATTACCATTATTAAAACATTAATAACACTTAGGAAACAGGATCTAAAGAGTGATTCAGAAGGAAAAAGAAGATATACAGCAGCTTAGTTATTAAGTTGTTGTTGTTGTTGTCAATCATTAAGGTAATTACTGGGGAACATTTTGTCCTGGGACACGTTTAAGGATAATTCTGACGTCGTGTTATTTTCATTTATTTGGTCGTCGTTCAAACACTATCGCACTCTCTGAGCTAGTGGCTGATATTTGGGGAACACGAGCAGTGAGACAACCAGACAGGTTTTCAACAATCAGCCAATTCAGAAGAGTATTTCTGACATTTAGTGTGCGCTCAAAGCAAAGTGCTTTGGATAATGTGGCTAAACTGTTGGCTTGTTTACAACTTGTCTGATGCTCTCTACTGCTCGTGTGTCTCGTCCTTGCACACTTTGTTGTGGAGATGTTGCCAGGTTTCATTTTTTTATGAGTACTTAGCAAAACGTCAAAGCTGCGGCCTTTCTTCAGTGATGGAAAACCAAAGATCCTGCAATTCGATGTATGGTTGGATTGTAATTGTTTTCCCCCGAAACGGGGCGTGGGGATGAGAGCCCACTCTGGATGTATATTTCCATTTGTAGAGATAGCATCATTAGCTTTGGCTCTATAAGAACCTGAACTGAATTCCCACTTCCAGGGATCAGCTTTAGGTCAATGTGCTGGAATTGGACAGAGTTTTATTTTGGTAAGTTATTGACACCGGGGGGTTGTTACAGGCATCTGGATAGAGATCTGTGATTTATTTCACTCTCAATCACACGCTCACACATCGCTCACTTGGACAGAAGAACATGTTGCGTGATTGACCTGTGGGTCAGGGTGGATTCAAGGACAGCCACGGTGTTGTCTTTAGCAGACTGAGGGTGTGTCTTTTTAATCAGGTTGTGAAGAGGGCACGAGAGCAACTCTCACTGATTCACCAGACAGCATTTCAGACGTATTGTTTTTGTTTTTTTGGTCCATTAAATTTGAACCAGTGTGAAATCCTGCATCACTTCCTATCTCGGCCACAGTCGCTTACTTATCGTGTCACTCGTCTAAATGTCTGCAACATTATCTGGACACACGCTGGCCTAGGGGGTCGATTCCTGTCACTGAGTCCTCCTTTACTGCTCTGATTTACATGGTGATCAGAGCAACTGGGCAACAACTCCCCCATGGTCGAGTAATATCGACACACACACACACACACACACATCGACACTCTTCCTAATGTGGTTTATGGCTGCAGAAGCTCATTAGCAACGGCTCATAAAACCTGCGACTGTTGGTGTGTTAAACACTGCTCTAAGACACACAAGTATAGAGATACACATGGAGGTACACTCTCTTTATTTGTACAATGCTTTTTGCTGAAGCCAAAAATACAACATTTTCTCTATAAAGAGGTAAAACATTACTCATAGCTCAATAAAGGAACAGTGCGGTGATTCCCAATATTCAGCAACAATCTAATTAATGAGAAATGCATCAACAAATGTATCTTATTTTGTTAGCCAGGGATTGTACTTGTATATTATATTTCGTTCATGTATGTATTGTTGTTGGTTCATTTTCTGTCCATCAACTGATCAATTGAAACTGTATTGACTGTATTGTTTCTCTAAAGGATGACGCATGCCTCATACCACGCGTGAAGTTTTGTAGAAGACGGCATTTTTTAACAATATTGATTGTCAGAAAATGTCAAATGAAGCCGAGCACGTTGCTGTAATCAAAATAAGACATGATGGAGATTTTTAACATTGGCATATTCTTTCAAGGTAATCGAAATTCACTCCAGTGCCAACGTGTTGGAGAATGTGGAGTCCGACCCTGCCGAATATTAGCGCCACGCGCTACATACTGAGCTACACCGGCTTTGAGGCTGCCGGTATTGTGCGGTGCTTGTCCTCTATTCTGTTAATTGCTTTATCTCACTCAATCTGGTGAATGTGTGTGTGTGTGTGTGTGTGTGTGTGTGTGTGTGTGTGTGTGT